CACATTGAAGTAAGCAAACAATTATACTAAGTTCATTTAAAACAAAGTCATTAAGTTAAGCCATAGTTATAACATAGAAATGAATTGTGATTATTATGTATTACCTATTGGTTTGGTATGTGGTATCAAAGGATACCATATCACCAAATAGAGCATAACTCTTTTTACAAAGGGGGTCTGCCCACAATGCTCTACAAAGGAAATAATCTTCATCCATCTCAAAATCAAAGAAAAAAGCACTCCACATTAACTTTTTGTTGGTAAAATTATCCACGAACATTTGAGCATCGCTTCCTTGAATGTATGCTTTTAAATCTCTATAAAAAAATTTTGAAATCTTGCTTAGATGCACCAATGTTATCATATCCTCCAACAATTTCCTTCATCATTCGAAAAGTTGTAACGGGACCAATATTCACCTATTTAAAGAACAAAACAGTTTGTCAAATGAGCAAACAATTTAATGCTCATTTTTCAAATGAACAAACAATTCAATGCTCATTTTTCAAATGAAAATGAACAAACAATTCAATGCTCATTTTTCAAATGAGCAAATAATTATTTTCTCATTTGTCAAATGAGTAAACAGCTTTTATTAGAACATATAGAGATTCATGAAACATAAGAGACTTTGAAAGTGTTACCTTAGAATTATTCACAATTAATTTTTTGTGCAATATGTTCATTTTCCTTCCTTCTTTTTGGAAGAGATTGCAACTAGGTGTATAAAGTGCATGAGTATGTCCCTCATGAAATTATGACACTATGAATTTGTTATCATCACAATGCTTTATGACAATATATGCCTTGCACCCAACACGAGTAACGAGTCTCTTCCTTTTGATTGAAGCTTTTTCTTCATTGCTTTCTCTTTCCTTGTTATTTAAATATTTTTCAACAGTAGCCTTTCTTTTCTCTTTGTATCCTTCCTTATTGCATAAGATATACTGTGATTTCAATTCTTTGCTTCTTCTTTGTCTTTTAGTTGTAGACTTTCTTGTGTTGAATCCAGCAGCAAATGCGTAACTTTTATAAAATTCAAGGCCCTCTTCAAGATTATTAAACTTCATCCCTATAGTTGGTTTCAACTCATTGGGGAATATTGGAAGCCATTCTTTTGTTCCTCCAGGATTGAGCAAAGGTGCTACTTTAGGAGAAACTACTATTGTAGGAATAGTTGGCACATTTGTGATGGTACTAGAATGACTGTCAAGTTGTTCATTGTTCCTCATCATTTCTGTCATTAAACATAATAGAAATAACAAGTCATTAACATTCCCACAAAATAGTAACAAGTGAATATGCACCCCCTTAAACACACTTACACACAGACTCTCAATAATTAGAACTGAAATCGGATTCTTAAATTTACACAGCCAGAAGCAAACACACACACTTATACATACACTCTTACATTCACTCTCTCTCTCTCTCTCACACACACACACACTTACACACAACAATTTCTGAAATCAGAACTGCAAGCAGAAAGATGAAGGGGCAGGGGGGATAGGTTTGTGCAGGGAAGTGGAAGAAGGGAGTGTGGTTAGTGTGCAGGAAACAGACCAAGAAGAAGAGGGTGGGGCTTGTGCATAGGCAAGCAGACCAAGGAACTCAATGCTCATTTACGAGATAAGCAAACAATTCTTTGATCTTTTGTCAAATGAGCAAATAATTGAATGCTCATTTGTCAAATGAGCAAATAACTCAATGCACATTTGTGAAATTAGCAACTAAGTATTTGCTCATTTGACAAATGAGCAACTAATTATTTGCTCATTTGACAAATGAGCAACTAACTATTTGCTTATTTTCTAAATGAGCCTATATATGATATATTATTTGTCAAAATAACACTATGCAACGCATCAACATCAAGCATAAAGCATATCTATAGAACCAAATTTACATCAAATGATCAAATTTATATAAACAGTCAATTATAGACCAGACATATGCAGGATAAATTGATTTTAAATATTGTTGTATCTGCAATCAATCATGAATGCTCCTTAACTGAAATCACTTTCTACCGTGATCTGTTAGTAGTCGAAATCTGCAGCAAGCTGAATTCCCCAAAGGATTGCCTTCGCTTCACTAATGCAAGGCTCCTAGCAGTCTTTCACCTTCCACGAAGCGGCTACATAAGCCTTCCCATCACTTCCCTCTACTTTCTTTCTCTTTACTCTTTTTTCTTCACAATAATATGGGCACTCTCTCTCTTCTAATCCTAGCATTAGCATTAGCATTAGCTACAACTACCTCTTTCACTTTCACTGCTTCTGCAACTTATGATAATGAGCTGAATGCCATTTCTCACCCTCTTCCTTACAATGTACAATCACCACCACCACCAAACTCTCTTTCCTTCCTCCGCCCCTGTCCTTGTCCCTGCCCCTGCACCTTACCACCACCACTATCACCACCACAACCTGTCTCACTCTCACTCCCCTGTCGCCGCCCCTGTCCCCTGCACCCTACCACCACCACCATCACCAACTTATTTTGCTCATTTGCTCATTTTTATATTTGCTCATTGTTATTTTGGATTTGCTCATTTTAATTATGTTTGTTCATTATATTTTTTCTATATTGTTATACATATTTAGGTTTGCTCATTTTTAATTTATTTGCTCATTTTAAATTTGATTGCAAATTTTCAATCTCTATCAAATTAATCAAACCTAAATTATTGATTCAATTCAAAAAACTTCAAAGAAGTAAATTCAATCAAATCAATAATTGATGCAATTAAACATGCAATTCAATGAGAACAAAACAAACCTCAAAAATCGAAAAGTATCATGCAATTAACATGCAATTCAATAACCTGGCGATCGATGCAATTAAACATGTAATTCAATGAGAACAGAACAAACCTCAAAAATCGAAAATTATCATGCAATTCAATAACCTGGCGATTGATGCAATTAAACATGCAATTCAATGAGAACAGAACAAACCTCAAAAATTGAAAATTATCATGCAATTAACATGCAATTCAATAACCTGGCGAATTTAATTTTGTAGCAGCGATTGCAATTGCAATTACTAATATCGAGCAAGGCGAGCGAGGTCAGTGTGAACTTGCTTATGATTACTTTGAGGATCCAATTCGAAGCAATGAGAAACAACTTTACTAATTAGATGCCATTGATGAAGCTTCGTGGTGGAGAGAGAAGTCAGTTATCTGGGTGGAGAGAGATGACAGTTAGGCGTGATTTTTAGGAGTTTTATGTTATTAATCACAAGCGTTGGATTGAATACAATTTGATGGCTGAGATTTGTTCTCACATATAGGATGAGTTCTCACATAGAAGGTGGTTCTCACCAGATTCCGACCCTAAAATGTATAAAATTTCTAAAATGTATAAAATTTAAAATTTATAACATAAATATGTATATTTGATATATTAATGTGATTAGGTGTGTTATATTCACCTGATTTTGACAAATCTGAATTTATTTCAACTTAATTTTCTCTTATCTGAATTTATATAAACAACCCTGAATTTATATAAGCATATCTGAATTTATCTGAACTCATATCAATCTGAACCTATCTAAATTTATTTTAAATTATCCGAACTTATTTGAATGTGTAAGAAAATATCTGAATTATATGAAATAATTTAAACTTGTATTAATTTATCTGAACTTATCCGAATTTATCTGAAATTAAATTATCAAAACTTATCTTAATTTATCATAAATTATTTGAACTAATTTGAATATTTCAAAAATTATCTAAACTATTCTGAATGTATCTGAAATTATCCAAACTTATCTAAATTTATTTGAACTAATTTGAATTGTCTGAACTAATTAATCTGAATTTGTATAAACCTATCTAAAATTATATGATATTATCTGAACTTATAGTCTTGATATAAGAGAAAATAAGGTGAATTAAACAAACCCTTATCTGAACATACTTTAACTTATTAGACCATATTATAGCTTATTTTAGTTGTAATTTATTTAAATTTGGATAACCTTTATTAAACTTTATTAAAACTTATTTAAGTTATACATCAAACTCAATTAACATTTATCCATTATTGACCATTAGTAATGTGTCCTTACTAAATAAGGTGTTAGAATTATTATGAAACCAACGCAAAATAAATGTGTTGCAATTATTACGAAATGAAGGGGTATAACTTCATTAACAATAACAAAATTCAAACATTACTAAAATTTGAAAATCTTGTATTCTTAATCACGATTTAGATATAATCAACAATCTTAATACTTCTTATAATCAAGTTGCTAATGAATTGACGATGATAAATAGCCGCAAAGACGGCGATAAATGCAAAACGATAAGGAAAAAGACATTTTACAATGATGTGATAATCACCCGATCAAGGTGATAAATAGTCATTTTCAGTAATAACTTGAGTTGTCAATCTTATAACAATTCTAATAAGCGAATACGAAAGTTAATTAAATGAAACCCAACGGACTATATATGAATGAAAATCTCCAATAACAAAAATGACATGACATGTATTCTAATATAGCTAAAACAACTTCAACTGAGATGGATCTGAATTTAAATTAGTCGACTCAAAATCGAAACTAAAGTAATTTTAACTGAGAATGAGCTAATAATCGAAGTAACCAGATTCAAATTTTAACCGGCATTGAATTGATTTGAACCGAGATCTAATTGAATTCAAAATGACCCGTTCCAAAGTCAAATAAATCCATTTTGACACAAATAAACCCGATAAAATCCAAAACCAAGTTCATCTTAACTCAATATGACTCGGCCCGAATTTGACTTGACCCAAGTTTGATTTGTATCCGACCATGCTTGAACTCAACTTTAACCCGAATCTGATTAAGCTCAACCCGATTTGATTTGGTTTGTTAATTTAATATAACCCATCATTACTCGACCCAAACATCCCGACCCGTCGTGGGTCAACCCAAACTCCATCTGAATATCCGATTTGACACCTCTACCTATAACATGGAAACTAAAACAAAGGGAGTACAACGATCCCCTAAAAAAACATGTGTTCTTAGTTGATTCAAGTTTATCGTGTAGACACACAGGCTAAAAGCCTAAAACTAAAATTGTTTATACGAGTAGTTCCAACTTTCTAAGTGCAGAAGTTAGAACTATCGTAACAACCGGAAATGGGTTCTACAACTCCAGCAATAATGAGTAATGGTTATGTATCAACCTCACATTTTCCAATCATCTCTTTCCTTTCATTAAATTTAAACCCCATTAAATCAATTTCACTCTCAAATTTTCATTCTCACCAAAAACACCATCATTTTCTCTCTCTTAACTTGAAAATCCGAAGAAAAAATGTCATCACTGCTTCATCAATGGCTTCCACCAGGTATTTTAGTGTATTAATTTTAATATTGGTTTCATATTATTGGGTTAAATGATTTTTTTTGTCTCCAAAATTGCAATTAGAAAAATGGAAGAAATTTTGCCTCCACCTCTTGATTCTACTTCAGACCCACCTTCATTGTTTGATGGCACCACAAGGTTCGTACTCCTAATTTTCCGTTTTTTCGAAAAAAAGGGTGGAAATTCCAATTTTAAGGTGGATTATTTTATTGATTTAATTAATTGTGGTGAGTTTTGATTTTTTTTTTTTGAAGGTTGTATGTTTCGTACACTTGCCCATATGCTCAACGGGTTTGGATTACCCGTAATTGTAAGGTAATTTTTCTAATTTTAACCAATATGGAGTAATTAAAAACCATTTCCCTTTTTTTAGCATGATTTTTATTTATTATTATTATTATTATTATTTTTTTTTTGTTTTGTGAGAAGGGACTACAAGATAAAATAGAGTTGGTAGCCATTGATCTCAAAAACAGGCCTTCGTGGTACAAAGAAAAAGTCTACCCACCAAATAAGGTACTCGTAGAGTCGACGAGTCGTAGTAATCTTTTTCATTTCTATTTGCTTTGGAGGGCTAGTCTTTTGGCAATTGGACTATCAATCATCAATTCATCATTACATTTCAATGCTAATCTCCTAAATTTGCAAAATTAGAGGGTACTTGGGCTAATGCATGGGATATGTTATTTGCGAAAAAATAACAATACAAAGTATACTGTTTGTAGTTAGTTATTTGAGTCCCTTGCAAAAAACAGGAAAATTAAGAAATTAGTGGACAGGTAATTATTGATATGAAGTGCATAAGATTTGAGTATTACGGTTTTGGAGGATTGAGGTGAAATGTTATAAAAATGGCTTTGCAATTATAATATAGTTGATGATATTAAACTCCGTATTAGGGGTGTTTAAAAATCGGAAAAATGAATAGGAATGGACCGAATTTTGGACCAATTTTTTCAGTCCGATCCTTGCTTAATAGGTCCAGTTTTTTATTCTTGAAATTAAATCTTCCGGTCTTTGATCCGCTTGGACCGATAAACAGCCTACTTCATATGTTTATTTACATGTGGCATACGTGTAAGTAAATACCCTAAATTTGCACTATTCATGGATAAAGCCGTTAACAATGGTAATGGTTTAGAATTTTATCCATGATGATAATCCGGAGCTCCCTCTTTTAAGGAAATGACTAAAATACCCCCCTACAAGCAAAAAAAACCAGCTAGTGCCAAGTGGAGAGTGAAAATCTAGAATCTTTTATCTTCCTGCCAAACCAATCCCCTCAACTCCCTACTCTTTACCCCTTTCCCTTAGCTTTCTCAGTGCTACAACCCAACAACCTCGCCGCACCAAGGCGTTGGACCACCTCCATCCGCCGCCTTATCACTCGCCAGAGCTCCGTCCCACCACCGATTTCAGTTTTTCTTACCTCCATTTTTTCAAAGGGATGTTTTTACCCCATTAATTCCGGCAACTTTGCAATTTTGAAAATTAGGGTTTTATCATCCTCATTTGATTAAATCCTTAAAACCCCAGAAAAATTAATGCTCATTTGATTAAAACCTTAAAAACCCAGTAAATTTATCCTCAATTTAAAGTTGATTTGGTGCATATTCGCGTCGTTATCATGCCCAGGATACCTGTTTTGATGAGCTTACCTCGATTCAGCTTTGCTCAATGCCGCCCAATTTTCTCTCTCCTCCATGGAACCTGCAACAATGGCGGTTATACCCATATTCCAGCTTCTTCTTCTCTTTCTTTCATTAGCAAAAAAACCCTTTTCAGTTATCCCTTTTCCTCCACCTTTGCAGTTTCTGCTGCTGCAACTTCTTCAACCAAACCTGTTTCTTCTTCGGATGTTCCGGGTATAAGGATGACATTGAAACAAAGGAAAAAAGCCCGGGGCGTGACGCCTGAATACATACTGAAGTGTAAACTTGATATGTGTTCAAAGTTTAATAAGCTTGATGAAGCTCTGCGCCTTTACGATGCTGCTAGAGTTGATGGTACAGAACTATCTCTTCATCATTATAATACACTTTTTTATTTGTGTTCTAATCATGCTTTGAATGGTATTAGTGATTGTGTTATTGATAGTTTAGAAAGGGGATTTGAGATATTTAGACAAATGGGTATTGATAGAGTTGTTCCGAATGAGGCTACATTTACTAGTATGGCTAGATTAGCAGCTTGTAAGAAAGACCCAGAAATGGCTTTTGATTTAGTTAAGCAGATGAAGGATAGTGGTAATGTTCCGAAGCTTAGATCGTACGCGCCAGCATTGTTTGGGTTTTTAGAGAAGGGGGATGCCGATGGGGCGTACAAGGTGGATGCACACATGAAAGAGTGTGGGGTAGTGGCTGAGGAGCCTGAGCTTGCTGCTCTTTTGAAGTTGAGTGTGGATGCCAGGAGGGGAGATAAGGTTTATGAGATGTTGCATCGATTGCGAACTAGTGTGAGGCAGGTTTCTGAAGAGACTGCTAGGATAGTGGAATGTTGGTTTAAATCTGAGACGGCTTGTGGTGTTGGGATGGAGAATTGGGACATGGGCAAGGTGAAGGAAGGTATAAATATGGGTGGAGGAGGGTGGCACGGGCAAGGGTGGCTTGGTAGCGGTAAATGGGGGGTGGTAAAGACCGAGATGGATAAGAAGGGTGTGTGTAGTTCCTGTGGTGAGAAACTTGTGTGCATTGACATTGACCCTAAAGAGACTGATAATTTTGCTTGTTCATTGAGTTCTTTGGCATGCAAAAAAGAAAAACTGGCTGACTTTTTGAAGTTCCAGCGGTGGCTTCAGAGTAATGGACCTTTTGATGCAGTTGTGGATGGTGCTAATGTTGGCCTTTGCGACTCAGAATCTTTTGACTTTAGGCAGCTTGCTAAAGCTGTAAATAGGCTACAACAAATTAGCCCTACAAAGAAATTGCCTCTTGTCATTCTTCATCAAAATCGTGTTTATACTGGCCCAGCTGAAACTACTAATATAAAGAGAATGTTGGGGAGCTGGAGGAAGGCTGGTGCCATTTATGCCACCCCACAAGGTTCAAATGATGACTGGTATTGGTTATACGCGGCTGTTAGATGCAATTGTTTGTTGCTTACAAATGATGAGATGAGGGACCACTTGTTCCAGCTGCTAGGAAATAGCATTTTCCCTCGATGGAAGGAAAAACATCAGATCAGGATGACAGTCTCAAAAAGTGGACTTGTCCTCCACATGCCTCCACCGTATTCAATTGTAACTCAAGAATCTGAAAGTGGTAGTTGGCATATACCTACAGTAACAGGTGATGACCTCAAAATACCTAGACAGTGGCTCTGTGCTACTAGAGTTACTAAAATTAAATCCAAAGTTAAAGCTCAATTGTCCAATTGAGTCTTTAAAGGTTGATCACTTCATGGATAGAGACTAATAAAGAGAGAATGATTGAATCTATTTCTAGTGGTTAATCTCCTGGGTTTCTGCTTCATAATGCACAAGCGGTAATATGTTTGAGATTGATAGCTCATCTATTTTAATGTAGTCTTTGTTATCATATTTTGGGAAAGAAATTCCCTTGGCTTGTATTTGTTACATCTATGAAGTACTTCATATAAAGAAATTATTCTCCTATTTTTTCAAGCACCACTATAACATTTAACATTACTGACATGACAATGTGTGTTATCCTACTTTTGTCTGAATTCTTCCTTCAAATATATTGTTCCATTTGGATTATAAAATTTGTTAAGATGCTATGAAATGACAAGTTTGTTTTGAAATCATCAAGGGAACAAAGATACTGAGATCTTTGATCATAAATCATGGTTATGGGTACTGTGACTGAATGTTGAAGTAGTTGCTCTGTTATACATATGATTCTTCCAACGTTTATCAATATGCTATATCAAAAGCCGGCAAATTTTATGTCGTAATCAAAAGCAAACCTAACTCTTCCGTCTTCCCTCTGACTGGCGTCCAAGTTATAATAGTGAATTTGTCTGTATCTCTTCTTTAAAATACATCCAATGGGAAAAGTTTTGATTATAACAAGTAGTATTAAAATGGTTTTTTGATGAAGCTAATTCTTCTTACTATCACTGTTGCCGTTTAAAATAATGTCACAGGTTCCATCATTAGAGTACAAAAATGAAGTTAGAGGTGAGAGCCTTGATTTGATGAAGTTTATTGACAGTCACTTTGAAGGGCCGTCCTTATTCCCAAGTGTAAGCTTTGGAAGATAAATCCTTGCGTTTATTTGCAATTAGGTTTATATCTCTCTATTAGAATATATTTTATCTTGCAGGATCTTGTGAAGCAAGACTTTGCTGGCGTACTATTTTCTTATATTGACTCATTCCATAAATCTGTAACTTCTTCTTTCAAGGAGGATGGAGTGAATGCAGAAACTGGTATATTGAAATCTGAACCGCGTGTATTTGAATCATTGTTTATGGCTTTCACAATTTCCTTTGTCATCGACATCAGGTGCTGCCTTCGATTACATTGAAGATGCTCTTTCCAAGTTAAATGATGGCCCTTTTTTCCTGGGTCAGTTAAGTCTGGTATGGATTTATGCTTCAAGTTTACACTTATAATTTGACGCAAAACTGGATGAATGCTCTTCCTCACACTCAATCACTTATAGCAAGTATGAGGGTTGCTAAATTAACTTCTGAAGAAGCATACTCTTGCAGTCTTGCTATTCGCTACAGAATGAACTGTAACCAGAATTTTGTACCTTTGGATACTTTACAGGGTCAGAATCCTTCATTTGTGTTGACTCTTTTAATGACTTCCACCACAGGTTGATATTGCTTATGTCCCATTCTTTGAAAGATACATCCCCTTTTTGAAAGATGTGAGGAGCTATGATATTACAGCCGCGAGACCTATGATTGCTATGTGGATTCAGGTATATTAAATTATTGATCAACGACAGTAGTATAATTAAGTATAGAAAAAGAGAACGCAAAAGAAAAGCTTCTTATACTCCATTTATTTAAAATGTTAACTGCCTAGTTTGACTTGTGAAAATTCTGATGGCGATAAATGTTATTCTCTCTCATTTCGAGGTAAGAGGTTAATGGTTTTCTGTTAAAATGTTCTCCTATCATTATATGGTGGTATTTCATTGGTCATCCTTTACATTGTAGTCCTGGATAACAAGTTTGAAATAGCTTTTAGAGTCATGTCAGATTTGGGTGAGGTAAGTTTCAAGCTAGGTATGGGTTGGGTCCATTTGGGTGCAGGTCATATTCGGGTAAAGTGAATTTTGGTCCGGATTTGGGTTGGGTCTAGTTCAGGTCATCTAGTTTAGGGTACGGGTATCTTTTTTGGGTATGGGTCGCATTGGGTTGGGTATTTTTTGCCAGGTCTACAAGCAGCCAGAGTATAAAGTGGCAACTTGGCAAGAGGCTCACAACCAACTGAACACTGAGGCACTAACCTTGCTAACATCTTCACTTGTATCTGTGCAAACAATCATTAAATTTATCTCACATCCACAGTAGTTGCTAGTTAGAGTATTATCTCGCTGCATTTCCTGGAGCTTCCTAGCATTCCTTTCTTTCCATATAAAATATGCTCGGATACTGTTATTCTGTGCACCCTACGGTCACCTAAATCTCACAATGCCAGTCACTAGGGTTTCTTTAAATACTAAATCAGTTGAGGATATAACTCCAATTCACCCTGAGCAGTTCTTTCATCTTCCTTGTCACACAGACTACTTTTAATCTTAGCCTAGAAAGTTTGCCTAAAATGGCTGGCCAGGTAATGAAGTTACATTTGGGAGGTGTAGGAATGCAGGATTGTTGCAAATCATTTTACTCCCAAGGAACTAATCATGATATTTTCATCTCTTTTTAAGATATGCTTATTGAAAACAGTTGTAGGCCTTGTTTCTGTAAGAGATGCGCACTGACAGAGAATGAGCTGCACTCAGAATTTTCCTTACCACGAATGAAGCCTGTCTAGGCACAATCATAGTAACAACTAACAAGGTCCCTGTCCTTCACATAGTACTCATGAATCCATTTCAATCATACCTTTTCTTTTCTTCTATGATATGTTCCATAGAAGCTTAGTGCTGTTTTGTCCCAGTGTCTAATATATATACTACGTATAATGTTCCAACCCTTGCTGCTACTCATACCGAACCTTTTCCAGGCAACAGAGTCCTTTTAGATGCCCTAGAGTTCCCAGTCCAAAGAAAGGTCCTGCAAGCTGCTTGTATTGCCTTTATTGCATTTTAAGGCAAATGGAATAATTGGCTCCAATAAATTTGCCACTGAGTTATTATAAAGTGACGCTTTGTCCGTCAATTGACTGGTTTCCTGTACAATTCATATGAATTCACATCCGTCAATTGACTGGTTTCCTGTACAATTCATATGAATTCACATCCGTCAATTGACTGGTTTCCTGTACAATTCATATGAATTCACAAAAAAAAAAAAAAAAAAAAAAGAGGCAGGCAGGTAGCAACCGCCCATCAAAAAAAAAAAAAAAATCAGTAACATGATTTGAAGGGACGCAAACTGATATAAAAAAAGTCTGGGTAGTAAGGTGATTAGACTATTTGCCAATAAGATACCCTTATTCTAATGTCTCTTATTTATTCCAATTTCTGTTCGAAATATTTTGGATTTATTTATTTCATTTTTTCTGTTGGGAAGGCTATCTAAGCTATTTTCTTCACTATTTGGCCAATAAGATACCCTTATTCTAATGTCTCTTATTTATACTTCGTGTCTACTCCATCAATTTTTATTACGAATTATAAACTAGCCTTTATGTGTTTCTAGAAACTCCTGTCACTAGGAATGCCAACGGATCGGTTTCGGGTCGGATGAATTCGATCCACTTCCTAATCGGATCATGGACTCAGATTCGAATCCGAATCCGAATCCGCTTAATCCGAGTTCGAATCCAATCCGACTCATTATTTTAGCATCCGAATCCGGTCCGTTTATTCGAACATCCGATAAAATCCAATTCATTTATGTGATACTAAAAATTTCATGTATTTTCTCTTATAAATTTCATTTTTTGCATCATATTAGTCGGATTCGGATCCGGAGTCGGACTTTGTACAAGGTCCAAGTCCGATCCACCTCCTATTCGGATTCGGATTGATTTAGCCAGATTCGGATTCGGACTACTTTTTAACGGATCCGTATCGGACTTTTTCCTTCGGATCGAATTCTAATCAAACTCGGATTGAATTGCCATCCCTACCTATAACTGTTAAACTGTTACATTAATCTATGAAATCAAGGCATAAAGTGTGTGGTAGGTAGTTATTTAGCTAAATAACACATCTACAATACTGTTGCATTTTTGCATCTGTTACTTTAGGCTTCAGTCATCAAATAGACTCAAATCAGTAACACAACAAAACCAATATATATAACAGCAATGCAAGTTGTAATAGGCTGGTTGACGGACTTGGAATTTCTGATTTTTGATTAGTGAATTAATTAATAAAGATGGAAGCGTTAATATTGATTGATTATGGTGGAGGGGTTACAAAATTATAGGGTTAATAGCTTTAGGCTATGTGTTAGGATCCAACCTCTTTCATCATGTATTTTGCTTTCTTATGTCTTTACTTAGTTTATGTTAGACTTTCAATGTATTCGTGTAAGTAGTTTAGGCGCTAGAGGAGATTATTGTGTTACTGTCATTTCAGTGTTCACTAGTATTTCTCCATATAAACAATATAAAGCTCTATATGGAGCGATGGTTGAATGAATGAAAAAGCTCCTATTCGGGTTGCCTTGCTTTAAGACTTGTGTGTTGATTTAAGCCTTTATAGATATTGTGCTTGCCTTGTTTTAAAGCTCCCCACCAAACCAAGAGACTCTCAAAGACGCCTACATCCTTGTCGGTTCGGCTTGTGCCCGCTTCGAAGTATCGGCCGTCACAAGTCCCGACCCTGCACTCGTTACTAACGATTGCCTCATTGAGATACCTTTGGTCCGTGTTGCTGTGTGCCCACGAACCTCTCTCACTCTAGGCTTGTGTTCTTGTTTCTAAAAGATAAGAGCGCGCCGCACGATCCGGTGCCAAACCACTCGGACCGTGACACTATGACTCTCAAATTAGCTTGAAACTATCACTCTCTAATGATGGCTTGAGGCCATTACTCTCTAGATTTCCCTAATACAATTTTCGCCTTTTGCTTTCTTTCCCCCACCCCCTCTCTCTATTTATATTAAAGCTTAAGACTACTAACCTAATAGTACTAGACTAGACTACCAATATTGCCCCTCCTTAGGTTAGTCTATTACATCATCTTGTGACGTTTGAGAACAGAAAAATTCCAAGATTCAAGACACATCAAGCCTATTTGTGCTAACAATACCAGTGGTTATGTGGCTATGTGCTCATGAAACAGACCAGAGTCTAAGACCAAATTTTCAGTTCATTTCTTGTATTAATCAAAACCCGTGGACCAGTAAGCTTGGAACGATTTTGGTGCTTGATGATTCATACATTGTGGGTTTTTCAAGAAAAACTCTGCTTATATTTTGCAAAGGGCTGAATAACTTAATAAAGTAGTCTTAAAATTTTTATTCCAAATAAAAGTGTCTTACAAGCTGTTCAAGTTTAGCCATTCTGTGTGATAATGTCGCAGGAGATGAATAAAATAGAGGGCTATAAGCAAACACAAACTGATCCAAAGTTGCTTGTTGAGAGTTACAAGAAACGTTTCTTGGTAATGATTACACTTTCTATCAACTCGTATATATTTGTATGCATGTATTTTTCATACATTATGTTTTATACTCTGTAGCACATAATTTTCGAACAAGTTTATATGGTACTCCAATTTTCTTTGCAGACCAAGCTTTGACGAGAGGATGAAGCTAAGCTACGGAAAGCTTGTTATTTTATTATAGAAGGTGATAATGGTATCGATAGATTACATGTGAAATGGATCAGTCCTCTAAACTCGAAAAACTGGGATAGTTGTCATCTTAATAAGCCGTGCTTGTTAGCATGAGGAATGCCCTTGTATTTTCAGATACTTCCTGTATATTCTCAGTGAAAGCATTAGCACCTTTAGTTTTCAAACTGTGATGAATTAGAGCTTTTACTAATACAATACAAGTAATAGCATTTCTTGGTAAACTGTAAGAAGTATTTCCCAGTGATTGCAATATCTTTACCAGAAATATATCGGATAGGTAATATCCAAACTAAAAATTTTGGTATCATTTTGAAACTTTGGGTGGATGACATTCATGAATCATGACAACCAGCTTGATAACTCCTTTTTGCCTATTTACTTGGAGAAATTTAGGATTATTGAGGGTAAAGCAACCCCCAGTACCTTCCTTTCAATATGTCATGCCATCTACACTCAAAATGCAATCAGTAATCATGCAAAATATGCTTCAATCAATGCAATTCAATCTTAGCTTCAAGAATTGTGCTAATAGTAATACAATGTTTCTTATAACTTATACAAATTATACAATAGGACTAATAAAGGTGGGTACGTATAGGCCCATGTGCCATGCCAGAATAGTTTGAGCTCAAACGGGGTGTGCTTAGAATCGGCGTTGTAATTGTTGTGCTTAGAACGAGCCTAGTAATAGTTGTACGGTGCCGAGCCGTGTCGATCTTTCATAAATGGAGCTTATGCAAGACTCGGGTCATGTGACATGCATGTCGAGTTATACCAGCACATCCCCTCATCAATGTTTAATAAGAGGGTTCACATGCGGAACATCCTATGTGTTTGTGTTGAATATTAAAAATGATGTCCATGCACGCTTCATGTCTTGCCGACACACGTTTTATGCCATACCAAACTTTGTATGAGCTTGTTTTGTAGGGTGGAGGGCGTAGGGAGGGGATGGATGCCGGAGGGTTTGGGCTAGGGTGGTGTGGGGGTTTGGGGTTCGCTGGTGGGTTACTTTTGTTAATTTTTTTTATTCTTTAAACTTTAGTTTTTTTTTTTATTTTATAAATCTATCAACTAATCATAAAGTGGCACGTAGCACTTTAACCTGTTAAAACCGGTTACCAACAAGTGAGAGACCAATAAAAGATAAAGGTGGGGTTATTAACAGCGAATCGATCAAAGGTGGGATTATTAAAAGTAATTTTTCCTCTATAATGAAATAGTTACAATAAACTGTATATATGTATGAGTAAATTTGATTGAATTGGTATTAATAGAATCGGAAAAAGGGCCATTAAAAAAATAGAATCGTAGAATTTATTGTAGAGTTTTCCACCTATTTTTCGATATAAGGAAAAAAAAAACACCATTTGTTCTAAAACAATTTAGTAATTAACACAATAAAACTTTGCACATGTTAGTGCATTATTTTGACTTTATTTTTATATAGTTAAACATTAATATAAATAAGGATTAATACTGTTTTTTAATCCCAACTTTTATTAATTTATTTTCATTAATCCCAACTTTGGATTATTTCAATAATCCCAACTTTAAGGTGGCCTATCATTCTTCAATCCCAAAAACCGGTTACCGGTTGAATGGGTTAATTTTTTTTTGGTTAAAGTGACACGTGTCACAAATTAATTGGTTAAAAATATAAAAAAAACCAAAAAAAAAAGAAAAAAAAAATCCACCCAGCCCAACCACCTTCCACGGCCCCGCAGCCCCACCAGCCCAACCCCCTGCCTGGCCCCAGCCGGAGCGCCGCGCCAACCACCCTCCCCCTCCCCCTGAATCGCCGACTCCCCTACCCCTCACCCTGAAACCACCAACCACCTCCGAAACCTCTACGCAACCGCCAATAAAACCCCTCCCCTTTTTCGAAAACTTCCAACCACCAATCCGGTTACCCCGAAACCCTAGCGGCTAGGGTTTTCGACGGTGAGGAAGTGGCTTTTGGGGGTTTTCGGGAGTGGGGGAGGGGTTTCGAGGGTGTTTCGAATGGTTGGAGAGGTTTAAACGGAGTTTTGATTGTGGTTGGCAGAAAATCGAATCGGAAAAGGAGGGGATTGGGGGTGGAGGTGGGTCGCAGCACCGACACAGGGGAATTGGGGGGAAAGCGGCGCAACATTGGGGCAGGGGAAGGGAGGGGTCGGTGCGGACGGCTGGCGGCAGGTGGTGGTGGTGGTGGGGGTTACGGTGGTCAGGTAAGGGTTACGGTGGGGAGTATGAGTATTTCTGGGTTTTTGTTTTTTTTTTTTTTTTTTTTAATTTTTAGACCAATCGAAAGGAAATTTTTTTCTGTTTTTTTCTTTTTTAATAAAAAAAAAATTGGTTCAGTAAAAAAAAAAAAAAAAAAAAATTGGACCACTCACGTGGCGACACGTGTCCAGCAACCTACAATAGAAGGTTGTTGACTTTTGTTAACCGGTTTGGGTATGAAGAATGATAACCCACCTTAAAGTTGGGATTATTGAGGAATAATCCAAAGTTGGGATTAATAAAAATAAATTGGTGAAAGTTGGGATTAAAAAACAGTATTAATCCTTTAAATAAAAAGCCATATGGGAAGACCTCTAAAAAAACCCTAAATTTTCTCTGTTCTCTATCTTCAAACCTAGCCACCATAGGAAAACTTAGGGGCTGCCATCGATTTTTATCGATGGTCAGCCCCAAATTCTTCCTTAATTTAATGTTTTTAGTCAATAAAGGTTACCAACAGTATGGTGATTATAGTCCGTCCCTTCGTGTAGGGTTTTGTTAGTCCCTCCGTGTAGGGTTTTGTCAGTTTCTCAATGTAGGGTTTAGTATAGTTTGTTTGTTTGTTTTTAGTGTGTGCAGGGATACAAATTCGGAAGATTCGTCTAGAAAATTTGTAGAATTGCGGGTCTGTTGGTATAGGGGTGCAGATTTAGAAGATTCGTCTTGCAAATTTGCAGATCTTGATGACCAATCAAGGTTTATCACTTTTGCGACTATACATCAATGTAGCTCCGTCAAAAACGATGCAAAGACATCTAAAATTATCCAGGAGCAGTGCAGAAGCGATGTCATTAGTTTATGGGTGTTTAATTCTTATATTGAGAATTTAGATCTCATAAGGGATGATTATAAGTGTCGAATGACTATTATTATTTAATGAAATCACCTTTCCCTATTCCATTTAAAAAGAAAAACAAAGCCATATTATGAAACTTTATATCACTGTCTATGTAACAACACATCTCATAAAAAATTATGTCTTAATTATGTTAAATAAAAAAATAGTTACAGTTACATATATACTTCACATATATTAAGAGTGAAAAAAAGTTCAACAAGTTAGCTAGTCTAGGACGGAAGTGATAGTTTTAATCAACTTTTTATTATTTTTAGTAATTTTAAATGAGCCCTTTCCCAAAATAATGTTGGGAAAAGACCCAATTCTATATATACAGTCATTTTTTATTTAATTCCCACAGTACCGACCATGTCACCGGTTCGAGCAAGATTTTTATTTTTACGATTTGTACAGAAAACCGCTACTTCAAGTAGCGGGTTTCTTATGTAAACCGCTATTTTATCTCTCACTTACACCGCTACTTGAAGTGGCGGCTTCCCTTTTCAGAATACCCAAAAACCTTCGAACAAGAACACAAAAAACAGGCATGCTAATCGAATATGGTCCTTTCGTCCTCTGCTTAGCGTCGCAACCTTTTCGGAGCGCCGAACCTCCCTCGTAGCTACTCTGAGTCGCCGAAAATAACTCGGTGGAGGCTACTCCGTCGGCTCCATCACTTGAAACTCCCTTGGTGCTGCTCTTTGTTGCCCTAATTTCTTTTTTTCCCAAATCACTTGTTAATTATAATGTTATTATAATTATTTGACATGTATTGATATCAATTCACCTAAATTTTATAGTAATATCAATTCCTAAATGAATTTTTGTTTAATTTACCAACCAAAGCATATGTATTTGAACACATGCAAGTACTGCAAATATGTGTTTAGCCTTTTTAATTATTTATTTGGTGAGCCAATTATACTATTTTTACATTGCATTGGTTGATGTTCAATAAATTTATATGGCTGATTGAGGAAATGATTTCTGTAACAGAAAACCGCTACTTCAAGTAGCGGTTTCTAGTTATAGAAACCGCTATTTCAAGTGGCAGTTTCTTGTTATAGAAACTACTACTTGAAGTGGCAGTTTTCAAATGAACCGGCAAAAAAAAATGGTTTTCTCTTACATGCTTATGTGAACGGTAATGTGGGAATTAAATAAAAAGAGACGGTATATATCGAATTGAGTCTTTTGCTAGCATTATTTTGGAAAAGGGCTCAATTTAAATGGTCAACATTATGCATTGGAAACCATGCTAAACATAAATAGAAAAGTATTTATACAATTGAGGAAATGCTCAATTAAATTACGTTGTGTTTACCTTGCCTCAAATTATTTTCCTTTTTATTCATATTTTGTAAATTATATGACATAGAATTAATAAAATTGAGTTTACGAGAATGAGTAATTATAACTTTGGAGGATCTAATAAATTGAGAAAGATTCAAAATTGATAAGTATTTTTGTATATAAAGTAGTCCTACAAATAATCTAAATAGATTGTATTATGATGTAAAATAAATCAAACAAGTATGTGATATTTCTTTTTGAATGTATGTAGTCTAGAGGGAAAAATATGGATCTAATAAATTGCGAAGGACTCAAAATTGATAAGTATTTTTTTTTATATAAAGTAGTTCTACGAGTAATCTAAAGAGGTTGTATGATGTGAAATAAATAAAAAAATTTTAAAATATGAGAAGGAAAAAAAAAAATGGTGAGCTCAAAGATTTGTTCCTTAAACCACTAATCAAAATAATAATGCAATTCACCATCTTAGCTAAAGTCAACCTATGTTTAAAAAATGCAAAAAATAAATAATATATTTAATTAAATTTATTTGTGATACATTGTGGTACGTTGCTTTAGTGGTACACAGCGGTACGCGTCATTTATCGTAGAATTTTCGCAACCCTTGTATCAGTTTGAACTACGTCCACTTTTAAGTTTTGAATTACACTCCTTTTTCTCACAATAATCTATTTTTTTTTTTTTTTTTTCAAAATGGTAAGAAGGAGCCTCATTTGAGGAGCACAATAATTTAATTGAGTCCCAAATAAAACCTAGGCAAGTTACAAGTACTTGTACCAAAAAATAATTTGATAATATCAGTAATTAATTAATTAATTAAATCACACTTTCACAGTTGGTAATTTTTATCCTCCATTAAAAACTACCATGCCACATCAACTAGCAAGTAGCAACCAAGTCAAGTGTTTTAACAAAGTTATTTCCGTACCTCATCATCATCCTTCAAATTTCAACAAAATCACAAAATCATTCAATTCAACTCATAAAAAATTTCCCTTTTCCAAATTTAGCAATCCAACTTAATCAAAATTCTCCCTAAAAACCCACCTAATTTCCATAAAAATATCTCTACATACATCTCACAACTTTTCCCAATTTTATTATTTTCATTTATTTATTTAATTAAATTTCCCCCCAAAAAAAAAAAAAATTAAATTAAAAATGCCACCTTTACAACTACTTCTCCGGCGCACAATAGCCACCGCCGGCGGCGTAAACCCACCATTAATTCTCTCTCCTCCACCATTAATGGCGAAGCAATCGATCCCAAGCACCATTGTTTATTCTTCAAAGAGGAGCACGTTAGCAAAAAAGAGGGGCGCGTGTTATGGTGTTGCGTGTGCGCACGTTAAGGGGTTAACTACAACCACTACAAAAATAAAGCAAATGATAACATACAACATCCCTAACAACATTAATAGGAAAAGGGTATTTATGCTTTCTTCTTCATCCTCCTCTTCTTCTCCAATTTCAGAGGAGAGAGAAACTAAGAGTAGTGAAGAAGAAGAAAAGGGGGGTGATAGATTTACTAGGGCTTCTGAGTTTGGGGTTGGTTCGTTTGGGTCTGAAATGGGTTTGAAGGATAAGCGAAACGATGATGATTTGAATCGAAACGGTGTCGTTTTGTCTACAAAGAAGGATCAGGAGGAAAAGGGGAATGATTGTTCTTCTACCAAATTGCTTACATTGCCTACTGTTTTAACCCTTGCTCGTGTTGCTGCCATTCCTGTTTTTATTGGAAGTATGATGTTTTATTTTTGATTTTTGGTTTTTGTTTGGTTATGAATCTGATGGGGTTTTTGATTTGTTATGGAATTAGTTTTGTTTGTTGGGTTTCGGGGATTGGGATTGATCTGATTAGAATTGGGTTTTTGTGGGTTTTCATTGAATTGTTGTAATTAATTTTGTAATGTGGAACTTTGATGGGTTTTTGTGATATGGTTGATTTTGGATTATGATGCTTAACTTGGGTGTTTTTATTTGTGTTTGTAGATTGGTTTGTTTTCATTATAGATTTTGCTAGTTTAGTGTGCTAGAAATGCAAAAAAAAAAAAAAAAAAAAAAAAAAAAAGGGTGTATTTTTGTTGGGATTTTAGGTTGTTTATGTTAGAGTTGAAGTTTTTGTAGTATGTTGTTCGAAAATTGAACTAAATACCGGTTTTTTTGGGGGCATAGTAAACCTCAAACCTTTGTTTTGTGTAGGGTGATCCATCTCTTGATATTGCTTAGATATCGTGCTGATTTTTCTTGGTGGAATTTGGCACTCTTTAGGAAAGTGCTGTGCTTTTTTCTTGTAAGGAACTAGGAATTACATACAAAAATATTTGAATTGATCTTAATGGGAAGATAGGTAACCATATCTTGGACTCTTCCGTCCATCCTTGGGACTTGGATACAAAAACATGTTGTAGAATGTTTGGAATATTGGGGTTAATTAACATCTTCTGTGTGAAGAATAAAGAGTTGCTCTTGTTTTTTCTCATTAGTATCGGAGCTATTCCTAGATTGTTGATGCTGTGCAGTTTGATTTAATCACAACTCAAACTCTAAGGCAGTTATAAAAAGGTTGTTTTTAATGCTACTCACCTATAATTGCTAACGTTTAGGCTTCTGTTCCCAGCATTTTACGTGAATAGTTGGTGGGGAGCAGCTGCCACGACCAGTTTATTTGTTGCTGCAGCAATCACAGATTGGCTTGATGGCTACCTTGCCAGAAAGGTATCTGTGGAATAAAGTTATATGCTGAGATGAATTTGTTTACTTCCCTTACTTATTGTTATACTTGGGCAATTTCTTTCAGATGCATCTAGGTACGGCATTTGGTGCTTTTCTGGATCCCGTGGCCGATAAGGTACTGCCTATAGGAAGAACCTTTGTAATGTTGTTGATAGTTGAAGTATTTTTTTTAGTAGTTTATTGATTCATCTTCTTGTTTAATGCAGCTTATGGTTGCTGCAACATTGGTCTTATTATGTAGCAAACCACCTGAAATTGCCTTATTCGGAGATATCCCTTGGCTATTTCCAGTACCAGCCATTGCAATTATTGGGAGAGAGGTTTCTTTGCATGCCCTTTGCTTTTAAATTGACAATTTTTGCAGATAATATATATGTGATGTAATTGATTCTGCCTTATGTCTGTGTGTTCTGTTGACAAGTTTGAGCTGAATATTGGAACACATACCATGCTTTTAAAGCCAAGCATTCGTTTCTTTGAATTAATGTACTTCGAATAGTCTATCCTGAAGTTCCTTGGAATTCCTAGCTGAAAAATTGATGATAAAGTTGAAACATGATAGTGATTTATGGAACTTCCAATTTAGTGCTTTCTGAAACACAGTGGTAAATTGATTGGGTATGAAATCTTAGTTCATGGAAAGAAAAAAAAAAAAAAAAGAGGGTTGGGGGGGGGGGGGATGGTTTATGGTGAGCAAGTTATTTAGAGTTGGAGGCTTAGGTGGCATTCCCTGTGTATAGGTTGCATTTCCCAAACACAAAGGCCTTTACAATTTGTGCATTTGTTCAAGTTTCAAGTGACTAAGTATATTAAAAAGTCTTTATTTTACATTTTGTTGGCAATAGAGTCCTGTAGAATGACCGTTCTGTTGTGATTTGTGACTTTGTTTTCTTGTTAAACAACAATATATTTTCATGCTCTTCTATCCTTTGATTCTGATCTAAAGCAGTTGCTTGAATAAGCTCCTTTTATTCCATTATAAACTTTATTACTACCTCTGTTTTTTTAATTTGCTACAAATGGGTATTTTATGTGAGACATAAAAAAATTCATTTGTTGCAAAAAAAAAGAAATGGAGGTAGTACTATTTTGGGGGTGTCCTACTTCACATTTGCTTTTGTATGAAGTTTAATATTTTAAATTGTAGTATTTCCTCTTTTCTCACCATCCCATCAATCTTTTTTCTTTCTCATCCTTTAACTAACTTCCTTTATACACGTTCAACCTTTACACTACACTCAACAACTATTCTTAATATTTGTGCCCAACCTCATATGAGGTCCATTATAGGATACAGGGATCATTGCAGTTTCAGTTGGGTTTCTTGCTGCAAAGAAAATTACTGGTGCAGGGTATAGTTTTTGATGCTCACAAAGTTTGACTTTTGTGGCCCCAGTTTTATAAGTGTTACCATTATCATTTAAAAAAATTGTTAAGGTACAACAAATTGTTAGTTTTGATTGCATGGAGTATGATAAAAATTGTTTTTTTGTCTGATTTAATAATTTTGAACAAAAGTTATCACTTAAGTATTTCCTGAAAGACAGTAAAAAGTTAAAAGGTATAATAGTTTGCAGACAGAAAAGAATCAAATATATTTTGAAGAGTTCTGTCAATAAAATTGGCCATTAAATTTCAATTTTTGGAATCCAGTTGTCATTAGGTATACAATCTTTACATTCTTTTCTAGTCAAATACTTGTAGGAAACTTCCGTGAAGTAACTTTACTTATAATCATATGGTTGAAATTCTGTTAAGAGAGAAAAAAATGTGGGAATCAAATAGGTTGTTGAGAAAGACTGAAGGACTAGAAGGGAAGATTTGGGTGTGTAGTTGCTTGCATTTGACAAATATATGTGTTTATATAATCTGTTCTGCATTGAAATTTGCTGAATTGTATTCAATATCACCATTTCCATGTCAATACAAGACACTATTTGCTCTATTTGTGTTTAGCAGCTTAGGGAATAATGCGCAAAGCGAAGCAAATCTCATCTATTTGGATTAATATGTTACGTTAAAAATATATGCCAACGATTATGGTTTCTGTGATTTGAGGAGGCTTTTCTTTAAATGATTGTTAGTAATTAACAGTAACTGTGTCTTACTATTACTAGTTTTACTTTCTAGGAGAGTGGGATAACATTGGTTGACCGATGAATAATGCGTCAAATATCGCTGGTCATAACTATGGTAATAATGAGCTGAATAAGGGAAAGTGAGAGGGAAAGATGATTGTTCAACTTCTTGGTCACCAATTAAAGCACCCTTTGTGATATATGGTTGAACCTGGCTTTTGTTAGAAATTTTGATCACATGCTTGTATTGTTTACAAAAAATGAATAATCCTCTCTACTGCTTCCTTTTTTTTTTTGGCTATACTTATACTCACTTCTACTCTGTTCCCTTTTTTGCAACCCCCCTTTACTTTTATTTTACCCTCTTATCCTACAAAATTTACACCTTACTCTCTCTTTCTCTTCAAGTACCTGTTTCTTACAACTCACCTTTTTCTCACACCCTCTCATTAAATTTTTTTTCTTCAGATTCTTAATATATCTATCTACTACGTATAATAACTATGAAGAACAATGTAAACATTAGAGCCTTTTATTTACACCCGGGTACACATAGAGGTAGGTGCCACCAAGGGTGGTTTTTTGCTCATTTGTTTTTTTTGTTTTTTTTTTTTTTTTTTTTTTTTTTTTCCCCTTTTTTTGAGCAAAAAAAGAAAAGAAAATATCCTTGGGTGGACCTTGCTCCAGGGTGCATATAAAATTAATCAACAAACAAAGGTAGTCTTTTTATTGACCTGGTGTATCTTTTGGTTCCACAGTACCACATTATACAGTTCTATGTTTGATCTTGGCTCTATGATTTACCCATTCTTGAGTTTCTGTTGATTGATTTTTCATTTTTCCTTCATAGTTAAGCAGGCAGTTGCATTTTCAATGCATTATTTATTAGATACTCCTTGAATTGTTTTTGCTTCATGGATAACTTATAGTGGTACTCTTCATCAGGGTTAGCATAAATATTAAAAATAATTGCTCAATGTCGAATAAATATTGAAAGTGGGATATAGAGAAATCAAGAGATTGTGTTGGAAAAGAAGATTGTCAGGATAGTGTGAATTTTTTTGAGGGATAAGCTATTTGTTAGTTTGTTACGGAGCAGAGACTAAATATAATGATGTCTTCGTCTGATGATTAGTATACGTGTTGCTTTGTGATTTGATTACTTTTGCATGTTCTTCAAATAGTATACTTGTTATGCTTTGTGATTTAATTACTTTTGTCAAGTAGGCATCTCACTACTAGCATTATTCATATTGTACATTTGTTGACTACCTAACTTTTTGATTTTAATACTCTTTCTAGATAACCATGTCTGCAGTTAGGGAATGGGCTGCCTCTCAAGATGCTAAGCTTCTGCAGGTTTGATATTCTTTTGGCTTTGCTCATCTGTTGAATTACTTGAATACATAGAGATTTCAATACAATGAGATTAGGTGAACTGATATATATGATCATGACTGTCACTCTTCCTAGGCTGTTGCTGTAAATAATTTAGGCAAATGGAAAACTGCAACACAGATGACTGCACTTACTTTGATCTTGGCTACTCGAGACAGCAGGTATTTTCTTGCTTGAGTTGCTTCCATCTTATATATATATATATATATAGTGTATGTTCTAACTGTCATATTTCTGCAGTTTTGTTGCTAGCCAAGGGGCTCTAGCAACTTCTGGTGTTGCTCTGCTCTATATATCAGCCGGGCTTGCAGTATGGTCACTAGTAGTATATATGAAGAAAATTTGGAAGGTGTTAATGAGATAAATAGTGATACGCTCAGAGCTTGCATTATGTGATTAATCATACGGCCCAGCCCATACCTCACCCCATACAAGTTTACACCCGAAGGCCCAAGGTTGGCAATTAAATCAAGGTTGACAATCTCCAAGTCAGTGAGTTGTGCTATGGTCAAGATGCGGCAATCGAAGTACAAAATACAACGGCAACAAGAAAGGAGGAAGTTTGAGTCAACAACAAGGGCAAGATGACAAAACTCATTAAGAAGGACTTGAGGAAAGCAAGCAACAAGCTTCTACAATGTCTAATTATGGTTTTGCCATTTTAGCTAATTAGTCACATGAATCTATCCTTAGTCTTAGAAGTCTTGAGTATAAGTAAGTTAGTAAGTTTGGCAATTAGGATTATCCAGAAATTGAATGTATTGTAATTGAAAGTTGTAGCCTCAAGCTACATTGTGAGATTAATGGCCTCAAGCCATTGCTATCCTACTTCCATTAATCAATGAAATACTCAAGCTTTCCTCTTAATTAGTTCATAGTTCTCTTTGCATTAACTATTACAACCGCTATTCCATAACAAATTGGTATTAGAGCGGTTTTACTGGCGGTGGTCCAGCGCCGGAAAACACCCATTTGAACCTCTAATTATTATTAAAAAATTGTAATTGAGAGTTGTAGCCTCAAGCTGCATTGTGAGATTAATGGCCTCAATGATGTGGTTCCAAGGCATTAATATTGTTATTTTAATAATTTTTATGTTATTTTTAATTTTATTATTAGGTGACCAAATTTATTAGGATATTTTTGTTAGTTTAATTCGGTTAGTAGAAGATAGCTTAACTTTAAAAATTATATTTGCAAAATATTATCTATACAAGTTAGGATAAGTTTCCTAGTTAGATTAGATTTTGTTCTACCCTAATTATTTAATACGTGGTTAAGAATTAATAAAAATCAGATTTGAGTTTTGATTATCATATGAAAAACGTGAGCTTAGCTTGTGTTTATGGTTTGTTAAACCTTGCCGTTGTGCTAAACTTTGATTCTTGAACCAAGCCTTCAAGTATCGCCTCTCGACCGAGCCTTGGAAGTTCTATCATTGTGTCACAAAAATTCTTTAACTTGTTTTTCCTCGAGAAAAACGAATACATTCAACCATAATCGTATAATAAACTTAATAAAATCCAATAAAAGGTTAAAAAATTGTTTCTTTTACTCAAGAAACTCAAAATAGCTGCGTAAATATGCATCACTCAAGCCATTGCTATCCTACTTCCATTAATCAATGAAATACTCAAGCTTTCCTCTTAATTAGTTCATAGTTCTCTTTGCATCAACTATTACAACCGCTAGTTCCATAACAAATTGGTATTAGAGCGGTGTTACTGGCGGTGGTTCGGCGCCAGAAACCACCCATCTGAACCTCTAATTATTATTAAAAAAATAAAAGGTTCAAATAGTCACACAGAGTTGTTACACCATAGAGCAGAGGCTCGCAATTATAGAAGAGCAGTTGCAAGCTCGGGAAGAAACCATGAAGAAAACCATGGAGGAGGCTGTTCAAAAGCTCGACGGTCGGATTGTTTTTGCACTCAACAAGAACCAGAGAGGAGCCAAGAAAGAGCGAGCCAGTTGAAGTTCGAAGAGGAGCTTTGTGCTCTCGTGGCTGCAATACCCAGACCGCAAACCAGAGTTCCCAACGAAGACGAAGCCGAATGCTCTCAAGCAAGGGAGATTTCGACCAAGGAGGTGGCGGTGGAAATCACTGGAAGCACCACAAACTAGAGATGCCAGTGTTCTAGGGGACAGATCGGATAATTGGATCTTGAGGGCGGAAATGTTCTTTGAGTTTTACCACTTGGATGAGAGAGAAAAACAGGAGGCAGCGGTGATAGCCATGGACGACCTACACTTAAGTGGTATCAATAAGAGAAGAAACCTTGACCATTGATGGGGTGGACGGACCTTAAAAACCGGCTTTTGTACGAGTTCCGACCGTCGCATTCGGGAAAACTGTACGAGCTGTGGCTAGCGTTAAGCCAAGAGGGGACGGTGGAAGAGTACCGTCGACGAAACATTGAATTGGCCGCTCCGTTAACAGGTATCTCCGAGGACCTCATGCTCGTCCAGTTCATTAATGGCCTGAGATGGGACCTTAAGTCGAAACTCCGTATGTTGAATCCCACCACGTTGGAAAAGGCTAAGGAACTGGCTGCGGGAATAGAAGAGAAGAATAGAGTGTGTCTTGGAAGAAAGGGAGGAATGGGGTTAGCCAGAAATAGGCCGGCCCAAACAACCCAAACTTACAACTCTAACAGTGGGTTTAAGGGAGGTGGGTTGGGCCTCGTACAAACGTATCGGCTACCCAACCAGACGGCCCCAACCGAACCTTGGACCCGGCCTTCCGAGTCCCTGGGTTCCGTCAATATGGCTGACACCGTACCCGGAACCACGACCAGCTCCGCTAGCACACCCAAAACAACCATAACACGGAGGCTCACTAAAGCGGAACTCCAAGAACGACGACGAGCGAAGGGGTTGTGTTTTCGCTGTGATGAAAGATGGGGTGTAGGCCATTGATGTAAGCGAAAGGAGTTGAGTGTACTCTTGACCACCGGGGAAGATGAGGGCGAAGGAAGCGGGGCGTTCGGAGATGAGGTTACCGAAGAAGAAACAAAGGAGCCACCGGTGGAGGTGTCCCTATACTCCGTGGTCGAAAATTCCAACCCATAAACAATGAAGTTAAAGAGGGTGGTGAAAGGAGTGGAAGTGGTAGTGATGGTGAATCCCAACGCGACACACAATTTTATCTCGATAAAGGTGGTGGAAGAAGCAAAAATTCCGATCACCCAAGGTGGTGAGTTTGGGGTATCCTTGGGAAAAGGGGACACCATGAAGGGGAAGGGAGTGTGCCAAAGCGCACGGGTCAAGCTAATCGGCGGGTTGATCGTGGTAGAAGATTTTTTACCACTTAATTTGGGGAATGCGAATATAATTCTCGGCATTCAGTGGCTTGAGAAACTTGGGTTGGTCACCACCAACTGGAAGACTCATGAAATAAGGTTCCAAGTGGCCGGCGTACCGGTGGTCCTCACCGAGCAACCATCGTCATTGGAGAAAACGCAAGTTGAGGGACAGGAGAAACCTTGTAAGAGTAAGGCCCTACCGATACGCTCATGTGCAAAAAGATGAGATCGAAAGGCTAATCTGGGAGATGTTTGAGGCCGGAATTATCAAGCCTTCGATGAGCCCTTTTGCAAGCCCGATTTTACTTGTAAAGAAGAAGGATGGGAGTTGGAGTTTTTGTGTGGACTATAGGGCCCTCAACAAGGAGATCGTGCCGGATAAGTATCCGATACCGGTTATCGATGAGCTACTTGATAAATTGCACGAAGCTTCCATGTTCTCTAAGTTAGACTTAAAGTTCGGCTACCATCAAATTCGGGACAAACCGAAGACACTCACAAGACAGCTTTCCGCACTCACAAAGGGCATTATGAATTCTTGGTGATGCCCTTAGGTTTGACAGATGCCCCAGCGACTTTCCAGTCCCCCATGGACGACATTTTACGACCTTTCCTAATGCGGTTTGTGTTAGAGTTCTTTGATGACATCCTTGTGTATATTAGCAACGAAGAGGAACACAAGAATCACTTGAGTCAAGTGTTGACCAAGTTGGCCGAACACTCTTTGAACGCCAACTTTAAAAAAAATGTGGCAAAGAAAGAGTGGATTACTTGGGCCATGTAATATCCAAACAAGGGGTGACAATGGATGAAGACAAAGTCAAGGCTATTCCTGAATGGGCCAGCCTAAAGAACTTGAAGGAGTTAAGGAGCTTTCTTAGGCTGACTGGATATTATAAAAAGTTTGTGGCCTAATATGCAGACATCGTTAGCCCATTGACTTCTCAATTGAAGAAAGACTCTTTTGGGTGGAATAAAGAGGCTAGCAAGGCTTTTCAATGGTTGAAGGTCGTCATGACTATGGCACCGATATTGGCGATGCCGAATTTTGAGAAACCTTTTGTTGTAGAAACCAATGCCTCCGAGTTCAGATTAGGGGTCGTTCTTATGCAAGAAGACCGACCCATAGCTTATTTTAGTAAGCTGCTTGGAGTTCGAGGGCAAGGCAAATCGATCTACGAGAAAGAGTTGATGGTCGTATGTATGGCTATTGAGAATTAATGGGTAGACATTTCATCGTGAGGAGTGATCAACAAAGCCTACGATATATCACGCAACAACGAGAGGTCGGGGGTGAATATCAAAAGTGGATGAGGAAATTGGTGGGCTTTGACTTTGAAGTGCAATACAAGCCCGGGGCCTCGAACTGAGTAGATGATGCATTGTCAAGAATGTGTCGACCCGAGGCCCAGCTCGCGGCCCTATCACACACTCTACTCATTGATTGGGCTGAACTTGAGGAAGAATTCCAAGCAGATACATGGTTAAAGGAAATCAAATTGGGCCTTAAGTCCAATAAAGAAGGGCCTAGTGGGTTCACATTAGACGGAAGAAGTGCGTTGTATAAGGAAGGGTTGTGCTCCCTAAATCATCTTAATTTATTCCAATACTCTTTCATGAGTATCATAACACGCCGACCGCCAGCCATAGTGGGGAAGTCAAAACCTACCTTAGGTTGGCAATGGACTGGTTCTAGCCCAGAATACGTAAGATGGTTGGGGAATTCGTTCGTAGGTGTGAGGTATGCCAACGGAGTAAGGTTGTGCAACAACACCCCTTAGGGCTGCTCCAGCCACTGCCGGTGCCCACGACGGTGTGGGAGGATGTGTCAATGGATTTTATGAGGGGTTTCCAAATTCTAAGGGGGTGGACAGTGTATTGGTAGTTGTGGATCGATTTTCTAAATACAGCCACTTTATCAGCCTCAAACACCCATTCAACGCACTAAGCGTGGCCGACCACTTCGTTAAGGAGGTAGTCCAACTGCACGGGTTCCCATCCTTGATAGTTTCGGATCGAGACCTGGTGTTTATGAGCGTGTTCTGGAAGGAATTGTTCCGCCTAACAGCAACACAGTTGCTCCGAAGTACGGCCTACCATCCGCAAACCGATGGTCAGACGACCGAGATCGTTAACAAGGTCTTGGAGACTTACCTTCGATGTTTTGTGGCCGGTTGGACAAAAAGTTGAGCACAATATCTTTCGTGGGCAGAATACTCCAATAATACGGCTCCTCATACGACCACTAAGTTGACAACAATCAAACACTGGTTGACACACTTGAAGAGACGTTGAAGGAGAGGGATTTGGTTCTAGATGAGATGCGGCTCACTTTGTTAAAAGCTCAGAAAGTCATGAAGGAAAACACGGATAAAGAACGGCGTGACAGTACATTCGAAGTTGGGTAGAGGGTTTATCTCAAGCTTCAACCATATCGGCAGCGCTCCCTAGCCAGGCGGCCGAATGAGAAACTAGCGGCCAGGTTTTATAGGTCGTTTGCGACAGTGCAGAAGGTGGGGGCGGTGGCTTACAAATTGGATCTACTGCCAGGGTGAAAAATTCACCCGGTATTCCATATTTCCTAGCTCAGGGAAGCAATTGAGTCCGCTTTGACTAACCTGACGATCCCCGAGCAACTCACAGTAAGACATGGAGTTAGTAGTTCGATCGGAGGAAGTGTTAGAGGTGCGCTTCCAGTCCAAAGGTGCCAAGGTCATTGTCGAGGTTCTCATCAAGTGGAAAAACCTTCCGGCATTCAAAGCAACTTGGGAAGACGCCTCCACCATAATTGAGCGTTTTCCGTCCTTCCACCTTGAGGACAAGATGAATCTTGAGCCGGAGGGTAATTTAATGAATCATACGGCCTAGCCCATACTATACCTCACCCCATACAAGTTTACACCCGAAGGCCCAAGGTTGGCAATCCACAAATCAAGGTTAACAATCTCCAAGTCTGTGAGTTATGCTATGGTCAAGATGCGCAATTGAAGCACAAAGAACAACGGTAGCAAGAAAGGAGGAAGTTTGAGTCAACAAAAACAAAGGGCAAGATGACAAAACTCATTAAGAAGGACTTGAGGAAAGCAAGCAACAAGCTTTTACAATGTCTAATTATGGTTTTGCCATTTTAGCTGATTAGTCACATGAATCTATCCTTAGTCTTAGAAGTCTTGAGTATAAGTAAGTTAGTAAGTTTAGCAAATAGGATTATCCAAAAATTGAGTGTATTGTAATTGAGAGTTGTAGCCTCAAGTTACATTGTGAGATTAATGAACTAAAGCCATTGCTATCCTACTTCCATTAATCAATGAAATACTCAAGCTTTCCTCTTAATTAGTTCATAGTTCTCTTTGCATTAACTATTACAACCGCTAGTCCATAACACATTAGTTGCTGCCTATTTGGTAAGTTCTACATAGTTATGTGGATCTGAATTGGTCGGTTCGTTGTTGGAGACATCCGGATCCCATCTTCCTGATGCTGAGAATGAAGATATTGTGCTCTCCTGTATACTACGCATTCTGCTGAATAATCTTCAACCGAGTAATTGAAATCGCTTTTTACGGGAATTCTTGTTCATATTAGTGGAGTTTTGGGGAGATTCGTCACGGATTGACTTTGAAACTATAACACAGGCCTAATCTCAGTATATTGTTTTATGATCTGGAGATTCTTACAGCAACAAGCATTGGTTCAGATGGTGATAGGTAAGGGTTATTAGTTCTTGTTTAATGGTAGTAATTTTTTAAGGAAATTATTTGTTGAACTTCAAAGATACAAACCTGTAATATACTTATATGCAGACTGAACAAAGCATGAGCAACTTTGTCTTATAGAGTTTTGAACTTTGTCATATGTTACTCTCTCCGTTCCTTTTTGTTTGTGTGAGGAGGGTGTGCCCATCGTAGGGGATCCTTCTCCTATATGCCCATGGCCCTTTAAAAGCCTAGGATTTTACACTTTTTAGGGTGTGTTAGGATTTGAATTTCTGACTGTTTGGGGGACCTTGAATTATAGTTGATTCTATCATTACGCTTTTTTGTAAGAAACTAATAAGGAGTTGCCAATAAGTTTTAGGAAAACTCATAAACCTCGTTCATGCCTTTCTCCGAAGTAGAGTTCAAGAGATATTTAGCATGAATCATAAGTTTACCCATGCCCAAATTGGTCTACTTGTACCAAAAATGAGTTCGGGAGCGAGGGTACTAAAATAACGTTCCTTTTAGGGAGGAATCGCCATTCTAGCCCAAGTGCGGCCTCTACTAGCTCTTCCATTTCCACAATTTCATTACTAAACAATATATGCAACGTGATACATAAAACTAAGTTAGTTGATTTTATTTACACGCATTAATCACGTAGGAATTACATTGCAAATGTCGTTATTCTTATTTATTCAAATTCGTGAAAGAACAAATTTAACAAGATTCGCCTTGTCTTAAGTGATAAAACAATCAATTAATTATTCAATTCTAGTCTTTAATTAACGCATGAATACTATGTGAATTAATTAATTAAAAGTTATTTTAAAGTGATCAAACAACACTAATTAGTCAATTAAAAGTTGTTTAAACAAGAAAAGAAAAGGTGATTTATCTAAGTGCTCGGGAATTTACCACTTTTCCTTGCTAGATCTTCGCTTAGAACACTTATGGACTCCTTCTTATTCGGGAACCTCCACCGTAAGAACAAACAATAAAGAGGGTGAGTGTTTAGGACAAGAGGGATGATTAGAACATAAGTTCACAAAGTTTCTGCTGACTTTCGGGTTAATATCACCTCTATTTATAGGGAATGGGTGAGTTTAGGGTTTTGAACATTCTGCCGCAATAGGTGGCGCGCGCATCTCAGAAGTTCGTGCGCGGCTGCTGCGCACAAGTGATTAGGTTGCGTTGCTGAAGGCAACGTAACTTATTGTCTTGCGCGTGGCTTTATGGTAAGATTCGATTCAGTATTTTCATGAAATTCTGGATCTTTCGCAAGCGCACCATTGGAGGTTACGTTGTTGTTACGCGCAACCTTGCAGGTTGCGCGTGCCAAGCCAGCGCGACTCCTTGAGTTGCGTGCAAATTTTCTTGCGGCAACCTCAGATTTTAACCTAGGCGCCTCTTAATCCGTCAAAATTAGGTCTAATCTTGGGATTAGGCCTAATTACTGATCAGGCTTAGTTTTAGTTAGCTTTGGTTCATTTCGTATTGGGTCAAGGTAGTTGTTTTATGTGTTTAAGTCTTAATCAGCAGTCCATAAGTATCCTTCACGTTGATCCAACACAAAGATGGTTTTATTTATTGTCATAGCACTTTCGGTCGGGACTGGGGACTAAAAGTAGATGTCTACAGTTTGCTTCACTATTTACATTTATTTATCCCCTTTTTTCAATTATTGGTCTCCTTTCGATTTTTGGATAACGTACAATCTTCTCGGTTTACCTTTCTTTGCTTTACTTAATCTCTTTCACCTTACTTCACTCTTTCGTCTTTGTGTTTATTAAGTTTATTTCTTGATCTCTAGGCCTTCACCGTGCTTCCCTTCCATATTGGAATTGTACTTTTTCTCTCATTTTTAGATACCTTTCTCTCTTCTCGTTCAAGCAGTATTGTCAAGTTGGATTGGTAAATTTTCTATTTTCTTAGAGTGAGATTCACATATCCACACAAAAATCGACATCAAATTTTGCTACCAAAACATTGATTCTCATATCCTCAGAGGTACATGGTAACAGATGATGATTAACATAATATAGTTAAAATTACTGACTGAAAACCATCCATGATTTTTTTTTTTTTTATATATTCAAAAGTTACTAATTAGGGTGCTTTTGGTATGGAATATTTTAATCACTCATTTAACAAAGATGATAAATATGAGTTTATTATACATTTTCACACTTTTTGCTTAGTCTCTCGTTAATATTAAGTTGTAAAACACATTTTAAGTGGTTGTTTGATTAACATATGAAGGAAATATTCTCATAAAATTCAATTTTATGAAAATTAAATTTTGTATAATCAAATTCATAGGAATTTCCTAAACCTATTTGATTAGCAATAGGGAGAGTAACTCTCTACATTAATTTCTATTTTGGCAAAAATTAGTAAATTCCTACATATTATAAATAATGAAAATTCCTATGTAGTGCTACTCAAAATAAATTCAATCAAACAACTCAGATAACTTAAGACTCCCTAAAATTTATATATTTCAATTTACTAGGGATTTCAATGCGCACGTTATGGCCAACCCTTTGAAAAAAATTATTATTGGTGACCTTTATATCCTATGCATGTTTGCGTATACTAATTGTGGACCCGCGCGCGATGCGCGCGGTTCCTCAAGTTATTAATGTATATTCTTCACTGATTTTGTTATCGGTGTTGTTTCTCTAGTGATTTTTTTGACGTTTTATCATCCATCAAGATTTGTGGTTTTCCAAGTTATCAATGTATTATTTTGACTGAATTTGTTATCGATGTTATTTCTCAAGTGATTTTATTTACGCTTTTATAAAATATGGTACGTAAGGAAAAATAAAATGGGAATGAGGTTCACAGACAAGTTTTGTCAAAGAAACCTAACCAATGTCGAGCATAAATCTTCACCTCCAGATATTCAACCAGTAAAGAAGTTGAATAATTAGATAAACAGCCACAAAACATGGAGATGCCAAATATCTTTACTACCAAGATTATCAAATTCTAGCAAGCCACTATCCAAGCCTCCTAAGTGACACTATTAGCACATTGTGATATACTTATAGTAAATTTTACCTGTCTGTTTTTTTTTTTTTTATTTTTTATTTTTTTTTTTTTGACAATCAAGAAAACAAAACAGACTACACCCTTCCTAGCTGCTATAGCTAGTTCATGGGCCTCTTTTACTTTGAGTCTACTGACTTTTACAATTACAAAATTATCAAAATTTTTGACAGCCTGTTTAATATAAAGCATTAACTGCTTTATCTCCCTCTTTGCTTTGCTGTTGTCAGTAAAAACCTTCACCAACTCGCTTGAGTCTGTGAGCATAGTGACTTTCCTCCCTGTAAGGTTTGAATTTTTTATTGCCATAAGAGCAGCCATGGCTTCAGTTTGGGGCGGGGTAGAGGCGAACACAGGGGCTTTCCCTCTGTCAATCACTACACCTTTTTCTTTACAAATCCATCATACAACAGCTTTCCAAGTATTCATCGAAGGTAGATCGTTCCTCTTCCGGGCACCATCAGTGATATGATCCTGACTTGTTCCACTTGAGTTGTCACCATCTGTACTATGCTCATTGCTTTCACCATCTGTAGAATCTGCAGTTATTGGTGTCGTTCTTGCTGTTAGGAGATTGCCATTGATCCATATGTTCTTCCAATGTTGGGCAGTGTAGATTATGTTGAGTGGATTACACTGTTCGTTGTTGAAGGTAGCTTTATTTCTTGTGAGCCAAATGCTTCAGAGAAAACTCACAAAGTCCATAACACTATCTTCTTAGTTGCTGTCCAGAGAAAAAAAGAGATGAAGTTCTGAATCCAAACCCTGATTTTGAGCTCTTTGCCATTGTGCTGCATTTCCATAATCTTCTAGAGATTTCGCAATCTCTAAAAATATGCTCCCGCGATTCATCTTCAAAGTGACATAATCTGCATACATTATAAGCATTAATTCCCCTTTTCTTTAGATAATTAGCAGTAGGGAGTGCATTATTAATTTTTTACCTGTCAATGTTAACAATTTTAACTCTTACAACATCATCCACTCTTAATACATCCCTGACATAGTGACATCTTGAACATAATCCCATAAAACTTCCGAAACATGTATTAAGCCAGTAAAATGATATTTTCCTGCATAATATAAGTTGTATACATCCAGATGCCAAAAAATACCGTAAAAAAACAATCACAGTAACAAAAGGCTCAAGCATATATATACCATCAGGGAAGCTCAGATTGAGAAAGGCTCCATAGTCCTCAACTCTTACCTCAAAGATATTCCCTTCTTTGATTTTCTCAGAGTACCAAATTGTGTCTTAATACTGCATCCTCTCGGTAATTTGAACTAACCCCTTTTGCCTGTTAGATGACTTGAAGGCATCCTGTGTCTTCCTTACCTCTCCACGAAAGGGTAATTACAGACAGCTAATTCCACTTGCTTATGATTGATGACAAACCTTGAAAAATTGGGGTATATGGTTTTGTTCTTGCTGTTGATGTTTGCCTAGTAATTTCATCAGTTGCTTATCTGCCATCTGGTTTTATAGTAAGGACACTTTATCATGGCCCTTGTATACATACTTATATAGATACTTTACTGCTTTTATGGTGGAGTAAACCTCTACATTAAGATAGTCAAAAAGTGTCGAAAGATATGGGTTGTATGGGACTTTTTCAGCTCAGCATTTCTGATCTTTACTTTTTCTCCCGTATCTGTTCTACGGTAGCAAGGATAACCGTCTTCGTTGGTAGTGGTTTGATCAACAAATGGCTTTGGATAGCTATTTTTTCATACCAATTCACCTCCTTTCTTCTGCATACAAGAACATTGTGGATTCATTCGACCACAAGGCCCATGCATCATGTGCTTTAATACAATCCTACGCAATGTAGGATTACTTAATGAAGGAATTTCTGCAGAAACATACTTGTCATAATCAGCTGGACTTTTCAATTTGAACTCCGGCTTCAGAATCAATAAAATATGAGCATGAGGTAGCCCCCTTTTCTGGAATTCCAAACACCTACCTCACCAAATACCTTAATCTCCATAATCTACTTCTTCAGAGCTAATAATTTTGCTCTGAATACCCGAGCTACTAAATCTGGTCTCTCATGTGCGATTTCCCCAAGGGAAAGCTCTGCTTTAATCTCTGGCCAATTTGCATTACACGTCATTGTGCTAAATAAATCCGGCTTCCCAAATCTGTGAACCAGAGCCATGGCATTGTAGTAACGCCTTTTCAAATCCCTTGGACCACCAAGGAATGTAGGCGGTAAAACAAATCTATGGCCAACATTGGCTGGATTAATCTCTCCAGCTTCAACTGTATCTAGTATGCCTTGATATAGATAAGCTCTAATACTATCTTGATGTCGAAGGAAAAAATCAAGCCTCGTATTTTCAATCTTCACATACATGTCTACAATGTACTGGAGAAATGCTGTTCCTGCCCTTAAAAGCATGTAGTTCGGTTTGATCTGCAACTTATATGCATAATATTCTCTTGGCGAAACAAATTTATCAGCCTTTGTATGTCTACCAGATGCACCTATATAATAAATATAAGCATGGTAATGGTAAGATATGAAATCCTTAGACAGCAGTAACATGGAGCAAAGTATGATTATCTAAACCCTTTCATCTTTAATTCACTTTAAAAAAAATTAAAAAAGGGCTTACGTGTAGCTTCTTGAGCAAGCAAATTTTCTACATTGTGCACAGCACAAGACTGAACAGGGTCAACCTTGGTATCAGCTTGCCTATGTCCACCGTGAGACATTTTCTTCAGCCCTTGATTCCATTCTCCCCGTGGAAAAAGCAAAGGATATTGTAGTGGACAATAACAACTGTAATAATGCTGAATTCTATGAGAGTCAGCTGATTTACCTGATACAAGAATATGTGGGCCTAAACTTTCACTTGAAGAAGTGTTATCAGGCCAAATCACAGCAACCACGGTATTTTGATTTATGACAATCTTAGTATCTTCATTTACTTCTACTTATTTCTAAGATCGAAAAAATCTAGCATAAGAATTATCTTTAGAGACGTTCATTAAAATGTCTATGACATCTAGTCAATTCAGGAAAACATCCTAAACGATTCTCAGTCTCATTCTAGCCATCATAATAATAATGTTGTAGATACTTAGGGTTACTATCAGCGGGCAAAAGATCAGGGACAAAATGATATAGTTGTCCATGCAATCAAAACACATAAATGCCCTTATATGTATCAGCATCAAAATTCCCTCCTATAGTGCTGAAGGCAAATAGGTTATTAAATAACCTTACATACTTTCTAAAATGCATAGCAATTTCTTCTTGCGAAGTAAAAAGTCTTATAAGTTCAGGAGGGTATTCATTTGCTGCAATTCGAACATCACCATTTCCACAACAAAAATGCAAAGACTCATAAGCAAATTTCTTAGCATTGCACTTGGAACAATATTGTGGGTCAGGCATTGTAAAGGCTTAGAGGGTAGAGGTTGCCCAACTGTAGCAGGCTAGCAGCTGGTGCTCCTGATATTAATAAAACGAACCCAAAAGGAAAAAGCAACCTCAATAAAAAAAAAGCTTTGAATAAGACTAACATAAGTTAAATATCTATGTGTATACTTACTTGCAATTGTTTCATAGTTACTTTTCCGGCTTCTTTTTGGTTGCAAGCTTGAATCTTGCCGCTCACTATATATACACTATGTTACTAACAATTTACGGCAACACATTACATTATCAGCGCATGATGTTTAACATACCTTCTATAGCCGGACTGCAAACTTGATGACCCAACTGTCCTCATTCTCTTGCTACAGCGAGTTGTAGATCTAAGAAAATAAGGATCTATTAATGCAATTAAAACAAAAGCAAATGTTGTTAAACAGTTTATAGTATATATGCTGTAAATGAGTAAAATAAGAAAAAAAATCCTTTGAAGAAAAAATTCTCATAAACCAGGTTTCATCATCTTCTCTCATATAAAATTAAAAGCAAAATAAACCATAAATTCCTAGTTCCATTTTGCTTGGTTAAAATAAGAAAGATCTTCTTTGCCTATTTAGACCACAAAATTTCAAAATTCATTACAAAAACATCAGACAACCTTTTTTTATTATTTATCATCAGTTTTCATAGATTTATTAGTGGTCCTTTGAAGTTAGAACCAGCCTAAACTTTGGTGCTTTCTGGCCACCTACTACTGATGTGTATTAAACTCCAATTTTGCCAGCAATATTTATGGGCTTTCTTCAATTCTTCTGCCTTATTATATTTTTTCCACTTAGTTTTACTTCAAACTAGTGGTTTAAATTTTCAATAATACTTAACTATTGTGAGAGCAACTCAAGAAACTGTACTGCAAACTAAAATATAAATATACAAATTTCTCACAAAACATCTAACAATATTTTCTACACTAATACAAAGGGAAAAAAAAAAGAATCATAACAGCAAAATCATAGTCCTTTGTAGTCGTACACCAAACAGACAAAAGATCTACCACACTCGTAAGATTACCTCCCACAAGTCCCACCCTAGTACGACTTATACAAGTTTGTAACGAATTAATAACACCAATCGACACGTGATGTTTTTAGCAAGATCATCCCACCAAACATTTTAAAGATGAATTGATATATGTGATCGGAAGCTACCCTAACATGCCCATGTCTTCACAAAGCATTTAACAACAATTCAAACACATCAATTTCCAAAGTAATGAAAAACAAAAAAGCATTCAAATGAATAGCATTTTATATGTTGTCTAACGAGCATAATGTCTAATCCAAACCCCTAAATTTTCAGCTGAAACTAAATCAGACCAATCATCCCTCTAAATCTTATTCATCATTGTCATCAAGACCCATTTAAATTTACCTGATTTTGCAAGGATATTTACCATTGAATTAAAGAGACGAAGAGGGTTATTTACCCAATTATTTTCAGCTACTCGTCGCCAATGATCAAAACCACTGCAGCAAGCTAGCCTAGCCAATTCACCACCACAAGCACCCCCTCTAGCTCAAGTGCCCACTTACAGATTATTAATGGACTTAATATTGAAGAAGAAGAAACAATTAGTTGACGACAACATGAGCAAGGAAGAAAATGGAGAAGAGAGAATTAGATGATACTATGATAGCCACGGGGGGCTGGTGGAGGCCAACTGGCGATCCATTTATGTTGAAGGCTGGCCCCTGTAAGTTTTATTTTTTGTGTAAAGTTAGCATTCTAGATTGTAGTTTAGTGGTTGAGCGCTCTACATCAAGCATTAACACCCTACAGGTCATGTGTTAGTTCTCACTTTTAATACTCGCTCCGTGTTTTAATAGAGTGCATCTCAGCGCATAATTGACTCTGCACTGCTACATTATAACGTACAATTATGGTATAATGTACCATTAAAGTATAAGTTGTCTTAATATTACTTTTTGTGTACTATTATGCATGTAGTTGTACTTTTTGCCATCTTATAGGTTGAATATTTTCCCCAAAAATACTCAACACCTGTCACCTATTATGCATGTAGTGGTACAATTTTCCATTTTATACGTTTGCTAACAAATAGCAGCTATGCGCTAAGGATTAACCGTTTTAATAAGTATTATAATTTGACTTTTTTCACTATTCACATAGTGATTTTGACTTGATTAATTTACTAAAATAAAAAAAATGTTATTATACATGACTGGAACACTTATTAAAATAGGAAAAATAAAAGGAAATGGAAAAAGTAAAAGTTGGCTTTAAATATTGAATAAATAAAACTTTTTATTTACAAGTAATTAATCAATTTAGGGAATTAAGAGACAATTTTAAACTTTCAAAATCAAATGAGAGCAAATATGTAAAGGAACATTTTTTAGGGATATAAATTAATGTCCATAAAATTTTGTTAAACTTTTTATAAGGTAGGAATTTAAGGCATATGGCAGATACCACAGATATATGCTGGACTACCACAGCTTTGAATGGATTTCAAGAGCATTTATACAAGCAACACCATTAATAAATATTGGCACCATCAAAATACTTTGATATTATCAAAAAAATAATCTAAACCATTTCGAAAGGATTTTAAGGAGCATTTATATAACACCATTATTAAACATTGGACACCACAAAAAAATTAAACCTCAAATTGTCTATTACAGTATCCTTTGTTTTTACATGCAGATCTAATAAGAGGATTTAAAGTCAAGCGAAAATGATTAAAAAATCAAAATACGAGTTTCTCGCCTGATGGTCTTATTGGATGAGGAGGTATTATATCTTTATAAATCGTTTAATTTATTAAATTTTTTAATAAACCTTTTTAGTTCATGTGATTTAGGTAGCTTAATCAAGGCAATAAATTAACTTGATTTTTATTTTTAATTAGGGTGATTACATTCATGCCTCAATTAAAGCCAACTTTGTTCAACAATTTCGTTCAAAATTGATTGAAGGAAAATTTTCCTCCATTAGATAGTTTTCAGTTGTTATGAATATGAAGCAATATCGCACGCGTTGTCAGTGACAACAAAATAATGATTCAATTTTTCAAAATACTATTGTTCGTGCGATTAGAGACGATGAAAAAATTCCAATGGATAGATTTGATTTTATACAATTACAATTTTTAGATCATTCACTTTTATTAGAGGGAAGAGATATGGGTGTGAACAAAGTTTGTGATTCTATCGAAATAGAAGATAAATAGTATACATGTTTTGTTGCATACGGTTATGTATATATATTTTTTAATTTTCTTATCAAGATATTTATTAAGGGAATAAAAAATTATCCTTAACAAATAATAGCAAATTAATCAAAAATATTATGAGTATGACTAATTATAAAAGATATGTTTTGTGTGATTTTATGTATAAAAAACCGTGCGAAATTAGGATTTAAATTATTAAAAAATAAAAATTATCTTGTAAAATTAATGGTTTTATCTAATATCCGATTTATAAGATGTTATTTTCATAAAAAAAATTAAAACAACAAAAAACTTTACCTTCTAGAAACATTTATGTGAAATTTATGTCAAAAAATTTGAATAGACAAATAATTTGTTAGTGATCAAGAGATCACAAGAAATATACAAAATGATATATAAATTTGAGAGCTTAATTTCAAGTGCTAAAAACAACATATAATGATCTGAAATATATTTACAATTTTTTTTTATTTTGAAAGATATCATATTATTGTCATATCTATTAACTATTACTAAAACAAAACATTGCTGACATCATCAACTTTTAAAGTATCCTACGTGTCATCTTTATGTATGATATCATTAAATAATTTTTTTAAATCTACAATATTTATTTCTCAAACAAAAATTTATTGCCACTCTTTTTTATTACATAAATGAATAATAAAACGATTTAAATCGTGCAACGCACGAGCCTAATCTAGTTACTAAAATTAACAAATAAAATATATAACAATAATAAATAAAGTCGCATTATAAATTACATTTTAAAAAATTATACTTTTGTAATAGCCAATAACATTTTAACTTAGAGTCTATAAGAAAATACTTCTGTTCATATTTATGTATGAAAAATCGTGTATCGCAAGGGCTTTTATCTAGTATAATATATTCGTAGTTTTACGTAATTTGTTAATTTTAATAATTTTTATATATAATTTGTTTCATGTTAATTGAAGTCACTAATAAAAAAATTTGGAAGGGGTTAATGAGATAAATAGTGATACGCTCAAAGCTTGCATTAGTTGCTGCCTATTTGGTAAGTTCTACGCAGTTATGTGGATCTGAATTGGGTGGTTTGTTGCTAGAGTCAATCCCCTATATCAATGCTGAAATACAAATACAAGACTCCGATTTGCTCCAATGTATAAAAATTATTTCTCAATTGAAATAAGATTTTGCGATCGAATGTTTTACATGCGACCGGGTAGTTGCAAGCCCATAACCTAACCTGTCGCAACCATTTACATGCCCATTGCCATAGTACTTAAAATATTAACAGCGATTATATATATGCGCATCAATTCACATCCCAAAAAGAATAGATTAACAGACCAGTTGTTATCAGACTACACTGGAGCGATTAGTTCCAGTACATGAGATCGTGCTTCATTGAAATCAGAGAGCAAGTATTCACATAACAGCCACGACCGCTCAAAGTTGATATCTTCATGTTGTGCACACCACAAACACACATCAGTAACAATGAATCCGTAAGAACCGCAAATATATTTTCAAGCAACCTTTAACTTACCAGCTTAAGTTAAAACCTCTCCGAATTTCTCTTTATCGCAGCTAACATATGGATTTCACAACTGAATCTGAAAATGTACTAGATTTACAGTATTGATCAAATGGATACGAAGTCAAAGCGGAAAAAATCAAATGGATATGAAGTACTAAAGTAATATCGACTTGGAAATTCATGCACTTACACCTCACCCTGGTGATCCATACTCAAAGAAGTTCTCACACACCCATTTATCGTACCCGTTTCCCAATTATGATCTAACAACGTAAATACTTCATCCATTGCAGAAGCCCGCAAAAGTCAACTTATGTTATGTAATTGAAATGAAGATTCTGTTAAAGTATAAACAGCCAATGTATTAATACCATGATAGTCACATTAACTGAATGTACATCAGCCACATCTGACGTTGAAATAGAGTCTATCACTAAAATTTCTCCCCGATTTAAAGAAAATGCTATACACCACCAATGATGATCCTTAAGAACAGGAGAAAACACCTACAAGGAAAGATATGTAAGATAAACAAAGACAAATTAATGAAAAGCTATATAAAAATTCAATGTCAGACCTCACATAGGTTAACAAGTTGTGAAACAAAAAAAGAAAATAAATAAAATCAATTTTTGTTAATTTTGCTGGTAATAAAGTAAGAGGAATTAACAAAAAGTGAAAGAAATTAGAAGATTTAACTGACCATAAGGCTATCAGCTAAATACACATAGACTCTGAGTTGATATGTGATCTGTCACCTGGTCACCCAATACCCATCATCAAATAGCACAAATCTAGATTACTGCGAAATGCTTCTCAATTCACTCTTTTCCAGATCATTCAAATTCTACTCTTATTAGTAGCTAATCATCGCTAAATGGATCATGAATCAAAAAGTCTGGAAGATTGTCAAGAAGATTAATAACAACCTATGTTAGTTTTTCCATATTTTGTTAAGGGTGTTTTGAATAATTTGTTCATTTTTCTGTTTGTTATGTTATTACTCCAAAAAAAGACCTGTGAAATAATTTAAAATGGGTTACATGGGTTATGCTATCACATGGGTGTGAGGGGGAAAAAAAGAATAATACTTGTAGCAAAATGGACAGGTTCTCATATTTAGGAATGTAAGATTAGAAATGGATTAGATGTCTGCTTACAACATTAATCCTATTTGGTGAAGTGCCAACCATTTGCTGCGTATAAGTGCATGTCGCCTTTTCCATGTTAGAGCTAGATTTTCTTTGCAATACACGAATCTGTCAAGCCATTTTCAAATGTTCAATCAAATCAGATAACACTGCACATTAACCGTATACAAAACTACACCACTAAATTCAAATCATACCGCAAAAGCCGGATCCATCATATAACTCTTGCTCCAACCTTCAAACTGTGAACTCCACACTTTCTCATACATTTTGCCAGCGACACGAGCGTACTATAGACATAAGAGACCATATTTTCATCATCAGATACTTTCGGACTACGTGTTGTCCTTGGATTTCTGTTTTCAGTGTTCAAATTCGCATTATTCTCGCTTTCCAGCCTCTCTCTCTCTCAACCCTCTCACTATCTTCCTTTTGCATCCTCTCTCTCTCTCTCCTCCTTCTGCATCCTCTCCCTCTCAATCCTCTCTCTCTCTCTCTCCTCCTTCTGCATCCTCTCTCTCTCTCTCTCAACCCTCTCACTCCCCTCCTTTTGCACCTCTCTCTATCAACCCTCTTACTCGATCTCCTCATTTTGCAACTTCTCTATCTCAACCCTCTCACTCTCCTCCTTTTGCAACCTCTCTCCCTCAATCGTACCCTTTCACTTTCGTCAATCTGTAGCCCCTCTCTCCCTCAACCCTTTCACTCTCCACCTTTTGCGTCTCTATCTCTCTTTTCTCCTCCTTTTGCCTCTCTATCTCTCTTTTCTCCTCCTCAAGCCTCTCTATCTCTCTTTGTCTTTTCTCCTCCTCAAGCCTCTCTATCTTTCTTTGTCTTTGCTGCTCCTCAAATATGCCTTTCTCTCTCTCTTTGCTCCTTAACCCTTTCTCTTTCTCTTTGCTCCTGCTCAAGC